AACTAAGAAAAGTATTTGTTTAAAAATTTTTAAAAAGAAAGAAAAGAAACTACAAAAGCCAGGTTTCAGGGGTGGAGGGGTGGCTAGGGAAATAGAAGGGTGTTCTTGGTTCTTAAAAACAAGAAAACTGGCCAGGCAGTGGTGGCTCATGCTTTTAGTTTTAACAGGGAGGCAGAGGCCTCCCTGAGTTCAAGGACAGCCTGGTCTACAGAGTGAGTTCCAGGAACTACACAGAGAAACCCTGTTTCAGAAAAGCAAAACAAACAAAAAAGAAACAGCAATTTTAATTAAATGTTAATGATAGTTCTGAATAGTTTGGCAAGTTTTATTTCCTTTGTATTCCTATCTGCATCTCCTAATTTTTCTTCATGAATATATGTACATATGTACATAAAATAATTACATATTTTAGAGATTTTTTATAAGAATTTCACCTTAATTACATGTGTATTTTCATGTGCCTAAGTGTGGGTACGTGCACATGAGTTCAGGTGCCCATAAAGGCAGAAGAGAGCATCAGTCAGATCTGCTGAAGCTAGAATTACAGGTGTGGTGAACCTCCTGGTATAGATATGGAAACCCAACTCAGGTCCTCTGCAAGAACAGTAAGTGCTCTTAACTACTGAGCCATCTCCACAGCCCCAAGTTTTAGAGTTTTAAAAGAAAACATCATCTACACTCTGGGTTATTTCCTGAACAATTCCAATGCACATACCCATACTACAATTTAGCCCAAAACTACCCCTATACCACAGCATCTCCATGTAAGTACATGGAACTGCTAGCTTAGTTCTAAAGAACCTCTCTCATCAAATTTCCTTTTTTCTAAAATGTATTTATTTATTTGTTTGTTTATTTATTTATTTATTTTGAGTAAGAAAAGGTCTCATGTTGGCCAGGCTAACCCTGAACTTGTCAATATTTTTCAAAGTTACTCTTCCTATTTTATCTAAGTTTCATAAGCACAGGATCTCACCCAGACAGATAATACAGCTCCATTCACTCTGTCAACAATTATTACCAACAGTACAGAATAGTACTTGAAGACAGACTAAAGCAGAGAAAATGTTCACGTCCATGTACCTGAGAAAAACAAATGGGAACTGAGAGAGTTTGTAAGGTGCCCTAGTGATAGACAGAAAGGGGAAGAGAGGTGGGGACAATGGTCAGAGGACAGAAACATCTGTCATTCTATTGTTCCATTTTTACAATTAATAGTTTAATTTTACTCATCAGTTTCCTCCAAGTTTACTTAATGAGTCAGACTCCCTGAATCAGCTGAAAACTTCACTAAACTCAAGTTTTGGTCTCCAAATCTAGGAATTGATACTGAAGCCCAGCCCCCTCCCCCGCCCCCCCCCCAAAGACAAAGCTGCCCAAGACTGACAGCGGCCATTGCTCTCCAGCTGCAACAGCCAAATGGAATGCATGAGCTGTATCTAATGCTCTCTGGTACTTCACCATGGCTTACAGAATAAAACAAACTTCTTGACCTGTCTCTCATATAACCCTGTTTCCCAGCCTCATTCTTACTAACCTGCAAAAATTCCTCTTTGTCCTCCAAAGTTCAATTCAGAAATCACCTACTCCCTGAAGCCTTCCTTTTCCCCCCTCCCCCAGGCATTTTTTAGGACATCACACCTCCCAGGCTGGCTTCAAACACTACAGAGCTGAGCTCCTTCCTGATCTTCTTCCTCTAGGATTACAGGACTGGGCCACCACAACCTGCCCCCAGTAGCCCTTTAACCACCACAATATTAAAGAATTTAAATCATGATTATAATCCACTTATTAAAATAATTGACTTTTCCTATAAACTACTGAAAAGAAAATGGTATCTAATGGTTCTCGCTTTTTAAGTTTCAACATAGTGTCAAATCATGAAATGAGGGATCAATGCTGAATGACTGATCATATAGAAACAGTATTGGCATTAAGTTATTAAAAGGAAAGAAGAGGGAAAGGAGATAGTTACACAAAATTAAAGAACTAAATTATCACGGGGGGGGGGGGGGGGGGGCCAGTGGTGGCATAAACTTTTAACCCCAGCACTCTGGAGACAGAGGCAGGAGGATCTTGGAGCTGAAGTCAGCCTGGTCTATAGAGAGAGTTCCAAGGCTACAGAGAAACCCTGACTTGAAACAAAACAAAACTGAATTATCTATTTAGTCTTATTCAAAATAGTCACAATATAGCTAAGAAGTGGCAAGACTTTTTTTAGTTATGGAAACTAATATTATTGAACAAACTGCTAAACTATATAGCTCAGTTTTATCTGCATATCACTTTATGAAGTAGATACTTGAAGATAAGGAAACTGAGGCATAAGCAGGGTTAAATAATTTAATATCTATGTGAACAAGTGTCAAGATAAAAGTAAAGTCCTGCAGTCTTACTCCAAAGCTGGTGAGCACTGGAATGAGGCAAGCTGTTACAATCATAACTGTGGACACATCACATCACCTCACCTCAGGACCTGAGAACCTTGTCTCCCAGCGTGTAGTAAGATAATGTACACAAAAATCATTCAGATGGGTTCTTCCACCTAGTAGACACTCAGAAATTCTACTTCGTTTTCCCTTGTTAAAAGCTAGGTAAAGAATTTACAGAGGAAAGGAGGTTCCACAAACTTGAGATCTTTTCAACAGAGAAATCCTTGCTTTATCTCAAAGTCAGAGCAGAACCCAGGCCAGAGGTCTTCTTACAAAATGCAAATACTCCTAATTACCCTAAATTACAACCCAACCTAAAAAAGGGCAAGCATCCCTGCAACCCAGGCCTGAGCGAGCAGGCAAGCAAGCCCAGCTCTCCACAGACTTAAATCTCCCCTCTCCCCTTTCTTCCTCTAGCCCCATGAACCTCTTTCACTTCCTCCAAGTTGCCAAGCTGTTCCACAAATGGTTAACTCTTAAGCCTCTTTATGAGTTAGCAGTGGTACTTCCTCCCGAAAACCTTCCCTGAGCCCCCAACTTAAATCATTCTCTTTCCTCATCTTTTTTCCCCCCTTGAACTCACCAGGGCGTTAACTTTCATATAGCCATTTCCTTTAGAGTTTTGTTCCAAAGACTCATCTGGACCAGGTAGAGCTCAAAGGCAGAGTCTATGCTCAGTGAGTGAGTGAGGCCCTAGGGTTGATTTCCCCCACTTCCCCCACTGCGAAACCAAACGAACACGAACACACACACACACACACACACACACACACAGAGAGAGAGAGAGAGAGAGAGAGAGAGAGAGAGAGAGAGAGAGAGAGAGAACAAAAAGACAGAGAGCCCTTCCTACCTTCTGGTAAGTCCCCTGTCATTGTAATGTTAATTAAATTCTCCCTGAGCCCAGGAGTACTGAAGTCTATGTGTCCCAGCATTCAAAAGGATGAGGCAGGAAGATCTAGACAGGCCAGTTAGGAAGACTTAGTTAAAACTGTATTTACAAAGAATAAAACAAAAATCACCCACCCCTTAGCTCAGATTCTCCTTCCCTCTTCTCTTTTTTCCTTTAGTATCTAGTGCTTTGTAACATACTGAATGTTTATTAGACACACTAGAAGGAAACTCCACAAGGGTAGTTATTTTTCATTGCTTATATTTAATGACAAATATTTTCTTTAATTACTGGACTTTGTCTTGAGGCTAAGGTCTCCCAACACTAACACAGTATCTCCAAAACCTAGTTCAGTCATGACCCCATACTACAAGTGCCCAGAAAAATTTTTTACAATCAGACATGGTTGCCTTAAGTCCCAACTACCGGGGAGGTTAAAACCTGAGCTTGGTAGCCAACCTGACTAAAACGGGGGAGGGGGAGGGAGGAGTAATTGTTAAACGAACCAAAGCCATCGTCAGTGGAACAGCAGAAAATGGTTAAAAAAAAAAAAAAATCAGCACCGAGCTGCCCCTTCTCTTTCATGGTGTAATGTTCCTGCTACCTGTTAGTTTAGCAAACAGACGTCTGAGATCCCACTGAGCACCCATCAGGCCCAGCACACGGTGTGCTCAGCCGGTGTACACCTGACACAAGCACCCTCTAAGCCCTACACGAACACAGACCTGGGGGTAAACGGGCAAACCCTGGTCCAAAAACCATTTACCCACCCAAGTCCCACTCTCCTCCTCATGAAGGAACTGTGTAGGCTAGTCCTGGATACAAAACCCACAGGCTCCCTAGGTGGGCCTGTGGGCTTATTCCAACCCTGGACTTTTAATGTCACCTCTGGCCTGCTCATGAAAATAGTTAAAAATCCCTAACCACCTCCAATAATCCCGCGGTCCTCAAGAGCAAGCATATCTAAGGTCATACGGACCCCTCCCCCTCACAAAAGCTGAGCCAAGGCCAGGAGGCCATCTGTCCAGCAGACGCTCCCCTGTCCTCCCCCTGGGTCACACGGAACCTAGACCCTAGGTTGGCAGGAAGGGTCCCCGCAGAGAGATAAATTCGCCCCTGATCAACAGGCCTGGTCACCCCCCTGAAGACCCCAACTCTGGAGGAAGAAGACTTGTCTGCCCCGGGAGAAACCTCCCCGGGGGTCAGAACTTGGGCGTAGAGGAGGGGTGACGGAGGGGCGCCGAGGAGGGCCGACGCTCCGAGTGTCTGCCCCGAGACGGCGCCTGGTCCTCGCGCGGCGGGGACCGTGGAGCTGACAGGGCGTCCCAGCCGGGCGAAGTGCACCGTTATCCCTGCCCGGGCCGGGGGCTCGGCGGGCGGCCGCCTGTGGCGCGCGGGACGACAGCGGCGTGCCCGGGCCGCCCCTGAGCGGCGGGCGGCTGCGGCGGCGGCGGAAGGGGCCGGCGACCCGGGCCGGGGGCGGGGTGGGGTGGCGGCCGGGGCCCGCCTGGCGGCGGTCGGGGGAAGTGGCTGCCGCCTCGGGCGGCGGGCAGGGTCCGCCAGGCTGCAGGGCCGGGCCGCGGCGCGGGCTCCGAGCCCGCTCTCCTCGGACTCCCCTGCCCGAGCTGGAGCAGCTGGGGCGGTGGCCTCGCCCTGTCCGGGCGGCGGGGGGCGCTTACCTGGCGGCGGCGGCGGCAGCGGCAGGCCCCGGGCTCGGCCGCGCGCGTCCCCAGCGCCGGCTGCGGGAGCCACAACATGGCGACGGCGGTGGCGGGCGGGGCTGCGGCTCCGGGGGCGGAGCGGGGGCGGGAGCCGGGCTGGCGGCGGGACCTGGCTGAGGCCGCGGGTGGGGAGGGCGGGCGGAAGGCGACTCGGGCCTGGGCACCGGCCAGGGCGGTGCGGCTGAGGAGCTGCCCCGGCCCGGCCGGGCCTCGCGCCTTCCGCCTCGGGCGAGCGCGACCCTGGCGACGCCGCCGCGAGGCGGGGCGGGGCGGGCGGGGACGGCGCTACACAGAGCTCCGGGACTCCGACCTGGGCTGGGGCCCGCCGCCCTCCGCGCGGCCTCACACCCTGGGCGGGCGCGGCCCGCTCCTCTCCTGGCCGCCTGGGCCTCTGGAGCTCTGATACGCCTCTGAGGCCTCGCTGCGGCCCAGGCCGCCCGCTAGAGGGACGACTTGTGCGTTCGCGGCGGCGGGCAGAACGGACGGCGAGCGCCCCGGAGCCCGGACGAGGTCGTCTTCACGTAGACCTGGCCGAGCGGGGCCTAGTCATGGCTGTTAAGTGAAAGGAGGCAGGAGTTGGCGTGGGCCTGGGCACTCGGGAGCGCCCTAAATGGCTGGTCATCGTAAGATACAAGGACATGCTCGCAAGCTTGGAGAGGCGTGGGGCGCTCAGACATGTTGTCTCTGGGGGAACCAAGGGAGGCGCGGGGGAGCGGAGTCGGGGGCTGGTAAGCTCTCAGGGTGGACTGGTCATTCATGGGCTCCCCGGGGAAGCTATAACTGCAGGGCAAGAACTTGGAGAGGCTGGCAGAAGACTACGAGGGTGACCCGCAGGACTTTCCGAGAACATGAAGTACTTGGGTCTGCAGCATTAAGGCAACAAGGAGGTCGGAGTTCCCTGCAGGATAGTTAAGCATGGAGAAGTTCCTTCTGAAGAAACCAGGAGGAAAGAGGCGACACTTTGCAAAAGGGCTGGAACTGACATTCGGCTGGGGCCTGCTCTGACTGAGCCAAACGCTTGGATGAGGAGTTTAGTGATAAAGCAATGAAGGCAGTTAAGAGAAATGGTTTCAGAAGTTTGGCAGGGAGATGGAGAGGAAACTAGGCCTCTAAATTAAGGAGGAGTAAAAGAAAGGTTTGTTTTTGGTTTTCCAGTTTGAAAAGGAGAGCTCAAGTAAAGAAGCCACAGGGAGATAGAATAATTTATACTGCGCACCCCAGAAAAGATAGGGAGTGGGGAGAAGGAGATCCAAGAAAAGGCTGTCTTATCCAACAAGATCCAAAGGGTGAATAAAGATAGAAATATTTCTCCAGTGTGGTGCATGTGTAATCCCACCTCTTAGGGGTTGAGGCAAGAGGACCTTAAGTTCAAGGCCAGCTGGTATTAGACATTAAAAGAGTGACTTAAAAACAAAAAAAGAAAGAGAAGAGGGAAGGATTATTTATTTGAGACGGGTTTCTCTGGGTAGCTTGGGCTGTCCTGGGACTCACTCTGTAGACCAGGCTGTCCCCAAAAGAACTCGGAGATCTGCCTGCCTCTGCCTTCCTCATGCTGGGATAAACTGACAACATGTCCCTCGAGACTTACTTTTTTAATATGGGGAATCATGCATGCTTCCACATATTAACTACCAGGATGTCCTTACAAGGCATCCATAAACAGGTAGATTCTCTGTCTTTTAAACTTTAGCTACAGTTGGTTCAAACTCCCATACCATAGTGGTATGAATGGCTGTAATGCCAGCATTCTACACCTGACACGGAAGGCAGGATATTGAGGAATGTAAGGTATACCTTGGCCATAGATCTACTTTGAGACCAACTTGAGCTACATGAGATCTTGCCCAACCCCACCCCCAAAAAAAATAAAACAATAAAATCTATACCACTTAGTATAGGAAATAAAACAATATAGCTGACATTATCTCTAGAAGTTTGTGAGGCACTTGATTATTTTTTTCTCTCTCTCTAAATATCTTTGGCCCCAACTTCTTTATTTTGTGTGCATTCCTGTGTCTGTATGGGTGTGGAAGTCAGAGGACAACTTGGGAGAGTCAGGTCTCTGCTTTTCCCATGAGAGTCCCAGACATTGAAGTTGGATCATAAGGCTTGGTAGCAAGAGTCCTTGTCACTGAACAATCTCTCATCAGCCCTATTCCTAAACTTGTTTAAAACCTTACAAACCAACAAAAAACCCTTTCCCTCTCAGGAGATGTGTTTCCATTCCCTGGTTATCACTTCATTTATACCCCTACCCCCAATAATGCACTATACCTGTGAACAAAATAGCCAGGATAATAAGGTGTTAAATAAACTTGAGGGGTTTTTTGTTGTTGTGTTTTGTAGCCACTAACCCTGGAAAGATGACTCGGTGGTTAAAAATATAGACTGCTCTTACAGAGCACCTGTTTGACTCCCAGCACTCACATCAAGCCCTCTGACCTCTTCAGGCACTGGTATTCATGTGCACACACACACACACCCCTTTCAAATAACAGTAAAAATCATGTCCATGGGCCAGTGAGGTGGCTCAGTGGGTAAAAGTGATTACGGCATAAGTATGAGGACCTGAGTCTGATTCCCCTGCATCCACATAATCCAGGCACATAGTATGATTATTTGTAACCCTAGCACTCCTGTGGGTAGGTAAGAGCCCGAGAAAACAGAATCCTTGGAAGTTCAGGGCCCAAGTAGCCTGGCCAGCACAGCACAAAAACTATAAGCAATTCCATCCAAAGTGAGGAAGGAAAATGAGGGCCAATACCTGAGGTTATCCTCTAACCCCTACATGCATGCCATGTTTCAAACTTTCCCACACCATCACAGAACATACACAGATGAATGCGTCATTATCTACACACACACCGACTTCAAAGAAGATTTAGGAAAGGCAATCAGAATAAGATCTTTTAGGTGTATATAGGACTCTAGCAATCAAAATGGTCTAGGTGAGGAGACTGTCCCAGGTAAAGGAGATAGTCCAAAGACCAAGAATACCCACCATGATGACTTTTGGGCCATAGCCCAGAACTGTAGTAGAGTAGGTCAGCCTGTCTGGGAGGTCAGGGGAGGACTAAAGCACAAGTGAGTCAGGCTGAACTCTAGATGTCCCAGACCTAGATGAACCACTGGAACTTGAACTGTGCTGGCAATACAGTGTAATGTGGATTCCCCCCATTATTTCTTACTCAGTGAGACTATAGGCATTAGCCCTTTGGTCCTAATAATGGGACGTTGACTCCGAACAATGAGACAGGGAAAACAACTAGTGTATTCCAGTTGTTTACACAATGAAAATTGGCCATTGCTTCTCTGATTATTTTTTTCTTCACAAGACAATAGAGTTTGTGTAGAGAGAAATTATGGGGGTGGGTGGAGAAACTTTAAACTAGGGTTGTTGACTGTTTGGTTTTTTGTTAAATTTTAAGATTTTATTTTCTATGTGTGAATATATACTATGGATGGTGGGTGTTCTCAGAGGCCAGAAAAAAGTGTGTAGACACATGAAGGCTGCTAAATGACCCTGAACCTGGGAGTCGTAGGTGGTAGTGAGCTGCCTGGTGTGGATACTGAGAACCAAAGTGACAAGTTGGTTCTTCTGGAAGAACAGCAAGTACTCTTAACTACTGAGCCATCACTCCACTTTGTCATCTTTCCACCCGTGTTTGACTTTTGAGACAGAGTCTGTCTCTGATCTGGCTGTATTAGAATTTAACTTTGTAGCCTACCCTGGTTTTGGACTTCTCGTCCTCTTTACTTCCCAAGCACATACCACCACACCCAATTTATGTAGTATTGGGGACCAAACTCAAGGCCTTACAGATGCTAGATAAGTCTTATACTAGCTGAGCTATATTCCTAGCCCCTTAATTTTTGTTTTTGAGACAAGTTTTAGATATAATTCAAGCTGGCCTTAAACTTGCATCTCCTGCCTCCGTCTCCTGGCCTTTTCCTCTTCAGCTCTTTTCCTTCTTTCTGCAGTACTGATGAGTGAACCAAGATTCCCCAAGGCTTCATGCAAACTAGGCACCCACAAGAGCAGGTGATCTCTGAGTTCCAGGCCAGCCTGATCTACAGAGCAAGTTCTTTTTTTTTTTTTTCCCCACTTTTATTTGTTTTCTGTTCATTAGTTTAAATTCTGGAAGGGTACAGCATCACACGGATTCTGTGTCCAATGGCCTTTGCAGGAAGGTTGCTTCGGAATTTGGCACGAACCATGCCACTGTTTCCATGAGCTCGAGTTACTTTCCCCCAGATCACTCTGGTTTTGTTTGGTTTGCCTCCAGGTGTCACCGTGTTGTTTTTTGCTTTATACACATAAGCACATCTCTTGCCCAAGTAAAATAAAGTTTCATCTCGGGCATCAGCATCTTCAATTTTAAAAAGAGCTGTGTGCTCTCGCTGGTTCCGGAGACCTCGCTTATAGCCAGCAAAAATGGCCTTGCATCACAGCCTTCCAGACATATTTGCCTTTTAGAAGTCCTGTTCCCAGCAGGCCTCCACAGGCGCCAAGATGGCGGAAAGAGCCAGAGCAAGTTCTAGGAGAGCCAGGACTACACAGAGAAACCCTTTCTCAAAAAGCAACAAAAAGCTAAGTGTGATGATACACATGGTCCCCAAACTTACTTTTAAGTAGTTTAGGATTTGTATGACCAGCATAGATAACAAAGAAGCCAGGTGTTCTACAGGCCTGTATTCCCAGCACTTGGGAATTGGAAGCAGGGGAATCTTCACAAGTTTGAAAAAGTTTCTGGCCAGCCACAATCACACAGATACTGTCACAAAAACAGATCCTAATCAGCACTTGAGAAGCAAAGACAGGCAGATGAATTTAAGGACAGCCTGGTCTACAGAGCAAGTTCTAGGACAACCAGGGCTACACAGAGAAACCCTGTCTCTCAACAACAACAACAAAAATCCTCATACATACTCACTTCAAATGATTAGATTACCTAGTACATTAGCAAAAATATACTATAAACATGTACTTTGCAGTACTCATTCATGATTCAGTTATTACATTCAGAGAAAGCAGTGGCAAGATAAATTAGCATAATCTTTTAAAAGCAATTCAAAGAGCCATAATAGACAAGTGAGTCCCTTTTGCCTCACAGTAGCACTCCTAGAAACTGCTTAAGAAAGAATCCTCCCTTAAAAGATAACTATAAGTACAACAATGTTTACTATAATCTTTAATTGTGATAAATTGTA